TCTCTCTCTCTCTCTCTCTCTCTCTCTCTCTCTCTCTCTCTCTCTCTCCCTCTCATTCGCTGTCTCACGCAGTTCTTTTAATCTGAGCATTGATATGATTGCCACTTAGCTGATTAACAATTTTATTTATTTATAAATGTATAAACGCCTGTATAATAAGTATATATTTATTGTTATTTTTTGCATTTTGTAAAAAAAATGAACAGCTAGTATATTATTTTTAATTAGTTATAGTTAGTTAAAGTTTGTTAATTGCTCCTGTAATTGGATTTGCATGCTTCAGTGAGTTTTTGGTGAACCTTTCGCGTTTTCATACACAAATATTATGTGTATTCAAGTGCGGCATGCCTTTTGCTAAATTTAATTGCCGCAGTTAGGTCTGAGCGGTTTTTTGTCAAAGCGAAAGTTGTTTCTCCTCGGCCTCTCATCTCTCTTTGTTTCACACAAAATTCCAAGAATTAGAAAGCGCAGATAAGGTCGCAATGCAGCATCTCTGCTGCTGCTGCTGCTGCTGCTACTCCATTTGCTGGAGCAGTTTGTAATTTGTTTATCGGCCGTCTCGAGTGCTGAATGCAGAACAGTGCCCGCCATTGTATTCGGCAATTTCCCAGAATTTATGAATTATAATTTCGCTTTATAGACAATTTTAATTGGGCTTTTTATGGCCTGCGTCGGGGCGGCAGCGTCTCCCTTAAGGGATGCCCGGCTAACTGGACAGCGTATAGGATTCCAATGCAAACAGAGCCATTTGTAAGCCATTTGTACCCGCTACCGATAGCGACTTCCGCTGAGCTCGCAGCGGCACCCGCACCAGGATTCTGATGACAGCCCGCATCGATGCATAAGACCAAAATCCATCGGCAAATATTGGCAGGGCAGGGCAGGGCAGGGCTAGGGCCGGGTAGGGCATGACTGGCCCTGACAAAAACAAAAAAGAAAAAATGAGTTTATGATTTTTTAAGCTGTTTGCCAGAGCTCTTCACATTTCGTAGGTGTTTGCTTTTCATTAACAGAAGCGACTGAAGCGCAGCTACTACCGATCGCAGTCGATCTCTCGCCGGCTTGTTTGCCTTGATTAGCTGAGTGACTGAGTGGAAATGGCAGGATGCGGATACTCATTAGAGACAAAGTAGCTCTATCTTACGAATTGATTCTTTATAGTAGACATCTGAGCAAACATGGGCCAGAGCGTGCATTAAAGTAGCCCCAGCCCAGTTTTGTCTGTGATTTTTTGCTTTTTATGCGTAACTTAAAATTAAATAAACAATAATACATGCATGGGTATAGAGTATGTCTACGTGAAAAGTGGGCTCTCTACATTCGAAGGTTTCCATAAGCAAACAAACACGCAAAATAAACCCAACAGCAACGGCAACGGGCAAACACTTCAGCTGCACCTGAGCTGGGAGCTGCCCCGCTCATCGTGCATGCATCGGTCTCTGATCGTAACCGACGCGACTCTCTCGAATTTGAATCCTCAACGGCGGTGGCATGTTTGCACCTTTAATAAGACCAGCCGACCAAGCCAACCAGACAACAATAATAACAACAACAACAACAAAAACAAGAATGCAACGCCGACGGCGGGTCATTGTGGCACGATCGGAAGGGTCACTGCAGGCGACGCGACGGTAGCTCCGAGTTAAATCTCTCGGCTAAGTAGTGTTTGCTTTCCGCACGCCCATTGCAATAGAATCTTTAAATACATATGTATTTACTTTGTTTCCATACATTGTTTTTGTTTTTTGTGGGGTCCCTGAGGCTGAAACTCGTTTTTTAACAAGATCATCTCACATCTAACAGCTGAATGCTAACTTTTATTGGAGAAACTCTATGATACGTTGCATATGCATGGCAATAATTTATCGAAATTTGTGTGTGGGACAAATTTGTGTTTGGCACGTCGCGAAAAATGTTTGCATATAAAGTTCTTGACTCATCTCGAGCCCCGATCGAAGGCGAATTATGGGGAATTGAATTGTAGCGTTAATAGCGAAAATACGTGACTAATTTGACTGCAGGCACCGGCTCCGGCTCCAGCTTCGGCTCTGGCCCTGGCTCTGAGCCGGCCGGATGTTAATGCCCATTGGCCATAAATCACAAAAGCCAAACATTGGGTTTCCAGCGTGGGCTAAAGATCATCAAGCTGGAAAGATAAGCCCATATATAACTGCTGCAGTTGCAACTTTATCTCCAGCTCAAGTTCAATGTGTTTAAGTCCGGCAATTTTTCGGGCTAGTTAGCTTGGAGCTCTGTCTTATCGAGGCACATTCATAACTCAATATAATAATTAACTAGGCGCACGCACTTCACATTCGAATGGTCAACTTTGGCGCCCATTAATCTTTAATAATTGCCGAAAATTGATGTCATGCGTATTTGAAAAGCCATTCAAATGACACAGTAAGCATTGATCTAAAGCAACAACAACAACAAAAAATGGGGGAAAAAGAATGCGAGGAGACAACGCACCATTCATTGGGGCAGAGACTAAGACAGAAAATATTTGTGGAGACAAATTTATGAACGTTTAGCACAAAAGTCAAGCACTCGAAGATAATGTTGTTGAGTAGAGCAACAAATTGCAGCTATCAATGCGGATGCCACAAATGCCGGAGCAGTCGAAGTCGAAGAGGCAGACGCACAGATACTCCGCCGGATCGCAGGCAGACGAAGAAAAAAATAAAAAACTACAACAACTGCTACGGCGAAGGGAACATACATTTGTCGAATGTGTATGATCTTTGGCGTTACTCCTGTGTGGCTCTGTGGATGTGCTACGTGGGCCCCCTTTGTAACTCAATTCGAAAATAATTAACGATCGCAAGATTACAAATGTCAAACATAATGTCAAGTTGGGCTGCCGGCGTCTCACATTGGCTGTCACTGGGAAAATGCCAAGCGAAATGTTCAAAGAGGACACAACAGCACAGGAAAACCACCGAGCCTCAAGCTGAATGGACCGACCGGCCGACCAGCCACACCACTGAGAGTCTCTGCTCGCACCACCAGCCACCAGCCAGACGGCAATGCGTGTGGGTCTGCGTTGAGCGCCAGCCGATTTGTTGTGACTTATGTCAAAACAATTGTGTGGATCTTGATCTGGCGGCTGTTGAATTCCGAGTGGCTGCTTCTGGCTGAGATTTGGCTAGGATTAGCATCACAACACTTGGCTCAACTCTTGTTTCATAACACACATACATATGTACATGTACATCTATATTAAATGCAAAATTTAGAATGCAAATGGCTGCAATTCATCAAATACTAAACAAGTCTAAGAAATATCGGACATATTCTATTCGTATAACCAAATCCCTTTAAGCAAATCGTAACTTAAATTAATGAAACCGCTCGAGCGATGTTAGTTAACGTGCACCTGGAGCAGGCGGAGCAGCAGCAGCTGTATCAGCAGGAGGAGCCACCGCAGCTGGTGTAGTTACGGCAGGAGCAGCAGTTGGGGCAGCAGTTGGAGCACTTGGAGTAGGTGCAGCTGTTGCTGGCGGATTGGTAGCACTCGTGTTGTTCGCCTGGCCCACAATAACCGTGCAATTGCGACAAATTACTGGAAAGTTAAATCGGATTAATAGGGGGGAACTTAAAGGGAGCTCCGCTCGCTTCATACAATACTCTTCCGACTCGTCGCTGTCGTAGTCCCCGAATAGACTCGATATCCAATCATAGACATCGTTCTTCTGCAAAGATACATATATTTGAGTGCGTGAGTCATGCCCAGTGGAGAGTTAATATTTACCGTTCTAGCTGCGCGCTCCTCCGCAGGATTTGCCCGCGTTGCCTGCGAGTGCAGCGCGAGGCACAAATAGAGCAGAATAATCAGTTTAGTTCTAACTAGCATCTTGACGCTGACTGGCAGACGAACTGTGGGATCTATCGGTTTTTATAGAGCGCCCGGCTAGTTTATTGTTTCTCAAATGCGTCTGTTAAAATTATGCAAAGCAAATAAATAGTCATTGCCTTTATGATGCTGGGTTTTCGCACTAGTCCCAGCGGACGATCTGTGCATAGCTCTCTATCTGTAGTCGCGGCACTGCTCTCAATGAAACTCGACTTTGTAGGTAGATTATTATTTATGCAGCTGCACGTTTCGCGTGGCCCATTTGTCTGGCGAATGGCCCCAAACGGGGCAAAACGAAAAAAAATATGATCGAAGTGCAATTGACAAGTGCGCAAATGCATATAGCAATAAAGTACATGAAATTCGATGCAGTCTGCTGATGCCGCCTGCTGCAGTTCAGTGGGGGCAACAAGTGTCTGAAGGGTTTCCAATTTGGACTGTAATCCGATCCGAGTAGCTGCAACACAGTCCCAGCACAGTATTTTAATTATGGCAATGGCGAGCGCCTCGTTAAGCTACTAGCCACAATTTTCAGTTATGAATGAAAGAAACAATCGAGGTCGATACACTTGTTTTGCTGTTCCACAGACGAGTGAGCTAACCGCCCCCTCCGCCACACCTTCACTTTCTCCTCAAACTCTTCTATTCCTCGCTCAATTCTTCAATTTTCAGGTCTTTGTTCGATTCTTTCCTTCCACAGCTCGCAACTTGCAACTTGCAACTTGTGGCGCGTGTAACTCGGCAGCCCTATTGTGATTTTTATGGCGCTCTTTGAGGCACTTTGCTGGCTCTGTACGTGTTCTTAGTTAAACTTGCCTCGTCTTGCTCCGTCTTCTTCTTCTTATTGTTGTTGTGTAACTTGAAACTAATTACATGATTCTAAATTAGACGACGGCATAAGGCGCAGATGTGCAAACTTTTACAAGTGACTGTAATGAATTGGCAGCGGGCTCGGAGTAGCTGCGAGAACAGGTGATACGACCAATTGGCTAAAATTATTTTTTTCCATAATTATCGGCCATTATAATGAATTGTAATTGTATTGTGGTATATATGATACTTTGCCTTCTGGTTTGCACAAAAAAAATATATATTTAATTAAATAAAGCCATATTTGTTTGAGTTATATAGATTGGATGATAATGAAGATAGTGATATGTGATATGAAAATGTCAAACTTGTAGGGGATTTATGCCAATTAGACTTTAAGGGGATATTAAATAGCTGCCATGTAAATCTTTCGTCTAAATGTAAAATTCAGTTTTACAGCGAAATTGAGTATTATTTAAATGAGAGTTTCTCTTTGGTCTAGGGAAAATAAAATGATCACTAACAAATTAAAAGCTAATGAGAGAACTAATTGACTATCATAAACTAAAATTAAAATCTAGATTTATAGTTAACCAACTGACGTAGTCCCATTGCTACTCATAAATAATGTTATACATTAGCCAAGATTATGTTCAGCATAATAAAATATTTATGAAGTGCAATATCTAACAGCTCCCATTTCTATAATCTCTGATAAGCTTATTACTACTATATATACTAACTACTGTATATACTATACTAGTACTATTAAACTCACCAAAGAAACTATTACCTAATACTTATTTCAAGTTTATACCAACAATCAATTGCCTAGATAGGTAAGCCCCAATGCCGTTGGGACAGCTACAATCTAATCATTGCGCCCATACACAAAATGCATTTCCGCACGTTCGGCGCATTTCTGTGTGTGTGTGTTTTTTTTTTCGCTATCCCACAAGATTCAAACACACACACACACACACAGATACATTTGCGTCTACACCCACATCCGCAGTTCTGGGAAGCAAAGTGTTGCGATTTTCAGGCGAACTAGAGTTCCATTGACTTGGACCCGCTCCCGGCCGCTGCCCAGCCGGAGCTAATTAGACGCAAATGTGCTTTTGTTCGCCCTCTCGTTAGCTGTGCTCGTTGTTGTTATTCTTCTTCTTCTTTCAGCTTTCTATGCTCACACACACACACACACACACACACACGCATATACTGATTCAGTGCCCTTTGCTTCATCTCCTTTCAGAGTCGCAGTGCCCGCAGTACGGCGAAGTGAATCAGCTGGGCGGCGTCTTTGTGAACGGCCGGCCGCTGCCGAATGCGACGCGAATGCGCATCGTGGAGCTGGCCCGGCTGGGCATCCGACCCTGCGACATCTCGCGCCAGCTGCGCGTGAGTCACGGCTGCGTTTCGAAGATACTGGCGCGCTACCACGAGACCGGCTCCATACTGCCGGGTGCCATTGGCGGCTCCAAGCCGCGCGTCACCACGCCCAAGGTGGTCAACTACATACGCGAGCTGAAGCAGCGGGATCCGGGCATCTTCGCCTGGGAGATACGCGATCGCCTGCTCAGCGAGGGCATCTGCGACAAGACGAACGTGCCCAGCGTCAGCTCCATCTCGCGCATACTGCGCAACAAGCTGGGCAGCATAGGGCATCACCATGGAGCTGGCAGTGCTGGCGCCGGCGGCGCAGCCATCGGCATGGGCAGCAACGGCGGCAGCGGAGGCAGCGCGAGCAGCGCTAATGTGGCCAACGTCAATGCCGTTCAGCACTCACACTCCGCGCACCAGCATCACTATCATCACCAGCACACGGCAGCCGCGGTGGCGGCCAGCGCCCATCATGCGCACGCCCACGCCCATCTCTACAATTCCATCTACCAGCCGTATAGTGCGGCAGCGGCGTACAGCATGAAGGCCGTCTCCTGCGGCAGCCCCTCGCCGCCGCAGGCGGGGCAGACGCATCAGCTGCGCAGCGTGGCCGCCGCCCACTGGCCCTCGTCGCACTCGGTGACCGACATTCTGGCGCACCACCAGGCCGTTGCCCTGCGCGCCAGCTGCCAGGGCAACACGGTGTCCCCGTTGCCCATGACGCCGTCGCCGGTGGGCGCCGCCAACGGGGGACAGCCGCTGCTGGACTGCGAGGGCGGGGCGGCACAGCAGCCGCCCTACAACTACTACATGTACTTTCAAAATGGCGGCATGCACCACCACCACCACCACGGCGGCATGATGACGGCCGGGGCGACCGGCTTATGAGGCAACGGCCCATCCTAGTTCCTCCCGGTTCGGTTATTGTCAGTTGGACTGGTTTCGAATCGCGTCCAACTGTGAGTGAGTGCAGCTCGAATTGTTAGTCAGGCATGAGTGAAGGGTTTAACTACAATATAAATATACATATACATATATATATATACATACATATATAGGATATATATATTCATAACATATATGATTAATATATGGAATTAGCTTAGGACTTTAGACTAAGGATCGCACTTGAATATCAAACTAACACTTAAGCCGAAATCACATATTGCTCCAGTACTTATGGGATAAATATTTTTTGGCCAAGGGATCTAGATACTAGGTAAGCGTACTACTGTTAGGTCTGCTCTCCGGGGAGCTCTCTGTTTCAACGAATTTGATGTATGTAATTCTGGAGATTTTCATTTGTTTTTCACATTTATAGCAACTTTTCGATTGTTCGAAGAAAGTAATAAAGTATTGAGTTGTGTTATAATATGTAAAAACTTTATTATTACATAGGTTCTTGTTCTCATAATTATTTGTACAATATGCTCTTTAAGTAAATTCTAGTTGACTATTTATGCCATAAATCTTAAAGAAGAATTTTTAAAATAAATTTGTTTTTTTTTAGCAAAAAAAAAAAAAAAAAAGTGAAAATTTCGTAATAACTATACGGTAAAGAGGGTTGACAAGAATTATGCTCTGATTGAATGTAGAGCTTACCTCAATCTAAATCTACATTCTTTTTATCTGAGTATACTTTACATTAGATTGTAGATTGCTTCGAGATTTAAGACATTTTTCTGATGTTCATTGACAAATCTTTTTTTTAGGTGCAAATACATATGTGGGAAAGTGCAAGTGCTGGTGTGGGTGCGCATGGTTTTTAGGGAGGAACTGTGCAGTTGGGTGGTTGTGCCAGGTAAAGATAGGGAGAGAGATTGTGTGCTAGAGGGTTAGGGTAAGATGCGTGCTTTGCGTTTTGTGTAGTGCAGGTGCTTAATGATGTGCTTGACTTTAGGGTTGCGCAGGATGTTCCTATAATGGATTCTATAATTCTACATGTTGTATTCAATGAAATACGCAGCAGCGGTTGGCCAAATGGAGCACCCGTGTTATCTGTGAATGATAGGTTGTACAGTGTAGGACTAAAGACGTTGGATAAGAAAAATATGAAAGTGGATAGTCAGGATGTGGATGTGGATAAGAAGGATATATTAGGATATAGGAAAGAAATAGGTTTGGATAGCTAGATAGTGTTAGTAGGTGTTTTAGTTTATAAAGAGGTTAGTATCGTGGGTTTAGAAATGCAATTCGGCATTGTATGAAAGATCTTAGTTTTCAGCAAATGTCAGGTTTTGCATCCAACCCAATGATGATGATTAGTGGAAAGTGGAAAAAGTAGAAAGTCTCGCTTGATAAGTTGATAGAAGAGATGATTGCTAAGCAATATGAGCCGGGGAAAAATTGAATAGATGAAAAATGTTGTTGCTACTGCAGTGTGTACTTTGAGATATGCCCGTATCATCCATGCTGTGAGTTCATCCTGTTCGTGTCTAATAATCCCGTTTGCAATCCATTCTCCAATTTGAGTATACCCAGTATTGTGCGCTGTTGCCTTGAGTATGTCAGTATATTTACAAGTATATTGATTGGAATTAAAAGTGTAAATTAATTCCGATTTAGTAGGCCGAAAGTGTGAGCATAGGTTTAATGGGGTCCAGACTATGGACAGCAGTCGCTTTCCTTCGGATCTTTCTGGACGTACCCGAAGAAGAAGTAGCCAAAGGACAGGCCCAAAATCACAGACAGGCACAGCCAATAGTTGAAGTTCATGAAGACCAACATAAGCAAGTACGAGATGATGATTTGGATGAAGTTCAACAGGGCTTGGATGATGTGAGGCATATTAAAGATGCGCTGCCAATATGTCTTATCCTTGATTTCGGCCAGTTGCGTCTCAGAACAGCCGTTGCAGTCACCCAAGGCCTTGCGGCGCTGCTCTTCGGCCAATTGCTCAGCCTCCTTGCGTGCTTCTCGACGAGCCAGTTGAACGCGCAGAAACTTCAGCAGCTCGTACAGGAAAGACATCGCGAAGAAGGCAATGCAGGAGAAGGCGAATTCGGTAACGGTGTAGGCCACCCAACTGCGCCACAGAATTCGTTCACAGTGGCCGCCATGAAACTGTGGAAGCGAGAAAGAGATGCATGTATTGAGCGCACAGGTCGATCACAGGGTGACGCAGGTAAAGTCGATGACTATCGCAACATATGATAGCATGTAACATGCATACTTATCGCAGGAGCACCCGGTATTTCTTAATGTTTGTCTCTTGCTCAACAAACAAACTCATGTGTATAAATACATACGTATGTATGTATGTACATAAGAACAGAGCGTAAATGATTGCTGGGGCGCGAGTGCGAGAGAGTGCGAGAGCGAGCTAAAATTAAGCATCGCAGCTAAACGGCTGTGTTTGCATTGTTGTGTGCGTGTGTGTGAGTACGAGATGTGCTCTGAGTAAAAACTGGCAGATCACAATAAGTATGTATGTACATACATATGTAGTATGTATATTTAATGCGATGCTAATTAAAATAAATCTTTGCGCACTCTCACTCTCTCTCTCTCTTTGCGCTGCAAAGAATTTTGAATGCACGCGAATAAATAAATAAATATGTGTGTATGTACATATGCATTTGCATATGTTGCCGTAAGAGATGCAGTCGCTGATGCAGTTGCTGTTGCAGTTGCTGTGAGTGCAATTGAAGTTAGTTTACGGTGCAACTTACCACCATGATCATGGGACAAGTGTGGGCCGCAGCGGTTGTATGGCCATCGTCGTGAGCCATCGACATCAAGTCCATTGCGATCGGATTGTGAAACTAATTCAATTGGACGCAAAGTGAAACAGAATGTTGAGCGCCTAAGCTAGTGATAACCGCGTAGACACTTGCTTAACTGCTGAGAACGGGACGTTGACTGCTTGGCAGAAACGAACGTATGCTCTTTTTTAAAGAAAACCTGACACTAATCCCGTCAAGGCGATACCCGATACGCTTATCTCTGAGAATTATGTGTGTTATCAGCCAGCAGCAGCGGACTGCAAGCCGTAATATCATGAGCGATGGCCTCACGCGAGCACCAGCCCAGCAATGTTGACACCAGTAAGTGACAGGTGTGTGGGAGAGAGAGCAACAGAGAGACGGGAGTAGCAGCTGAGAGAGTGAGAGAGAGCGGGAGAGCAGATACATGCAAATGATTGCCCGTCTGTATTGCAATCAGTTGGAGATCTGCATGCTGGGTAGTTGGCTATAATCATCAAATCAACATCAGGGTCATATGCTTGATAAGCATCAGCAAGTTTTATGATTCTTGGCGAAATTCAACTGATAGAATAATATATGGATTTGTTAAAGTTCAATTTATGTGGCTATTAAGATTATTGTTAATTGGTCAAAGTATTTTTTTTTTTTATTGTACTCAGGCTGGTAACTACTGTTTCAATAGCGACCGTCGAGGAGCGTATTTGCTTGATGTCTGCATTAGGCCCACTTGGCTTTGCCCATGTTTTGTTCCTAACTGCTGGCCAGCCGCAATCCAATAATGGCCGCGTGCAAACAATTCTATACGGCCGTGTGCAAAAGTTACGGTTATTCTTTGGCGTGTGCAGACTTCGAAAGATTGGTGCCGTGTGCAGAATATCGGTAAACGATATTCGACTGATCTAAATGGTTTGGTCATTCGATGGAAAATTGGTAAAAGCTATTGCCAAAAATTACCCTAAGAAGCTAAAACAAATATTGTTGACTATTCTGACTGACTTTTATGTTATAAAAGTTTACTAAATATGGGGACTTAAAGAAAAAAAAAAAACACACACCCATGCATGAGGCTAATTGTAATGAACACGTATATACATATATAAGTATTTATTTAAGAAAATACAATATAAATTTATTACTTATTATTATCAGATCTGAATCATATAAGATTAAAAAATATTCACCATTTTAAAGAGCATATATTCTTATTTCTAATTTTTAAATATTTGCTAATAAATCATGTTTTAAATGTATGGTAAATAATTTAAGACTTTCTACTACCAATAAAAATCTGTAAGTTTTTTAAAAGCAAAGTAAAAAATTTAATACAAAATACGTTAGCTACAATATTTGAAACCTGAGCAAAAGCACTAAAAGATCATTATTCGTTGATGTGGCAGCACTCTATATATGCTTCTATAAAACAGGGAAATTTATTAGAAGTGATTTTTTTTTTTAATTTAGAGTGAGTATATTTTAATTGTCATGTATATCTATATTGTGAAGACTATGAAATTGATATTGATAAAAGAATTGTTAATATATAAACATAAACAGGAGCTCATGTTCCCTGGGAACAATATCGATAACATAAAGATTATGTTTGAAATGGCTATATATCGATAGTATATTGCTAAGCCGCAGAAGAGAGATAGAAATTCTTGCCATTTGTTACATCCGAAGTGGTGCCGCGGTAGATAGAATCTGACTGCGTACACCAATGTGTACAGTATTCCAATAAGAAAGTCACTAAACACAGCAGTAATATGTTTGCGTTACGACACTTGCGACTACAGGGCAGGGCTAAAATACATTTGCCATATGCTGCAACAACTGCAACAGCAACAACTACAAAACACATGCCAGCTGTGCCGGCGCGTGTCTATGTGGGTCTACATACATACAGCAGCGAGTATCGCATGCCAAGACTGCTGATGCTACAGGAACATATGACAAGCTGGAGGCTTCACCAAAGAACCACGACAACGCTGTCGGAATCTTCGAACCAGGAGAGGAAGACGCCGCATAAAGCGACACTGTTACAGGAACTGGCCGACGCCGCTAAGCCTTATGCACAGCTAATGCGTATAGACCGGCCCATTGGGACGTATCTGCTCTTCTGGCCGTGCGGCTGGAGCATAGCTCTCAGTGCTGATGCCGGCTGCTGGCCAGATTTTTCGATGCTGGGACTCTTTGCTATAGGCGCATTGATTATGCGCGGCGCGGGCTGCACCATCAATGACATGTGGGACAAAGATATCGACGCCAAGGTGGAAAGAACGCGCACTCGCCCGCTGGCCTCTGGACAGATTACGCAGTTCGATGCGATTGTATTTCTCTCGGCGCAGCTTAGCCTGGGTCTGCTCGTGCTTGTGCAGCTGAACTGGCAGTCCATCCTGCTGGGCGCGAGTTCACTGGGCTTGGTCATTACATACCCGCTTATGAAGCGTGTAACCTACTGGCCCCAGCTGGTGCTCGGCATGTGCTTCAACTGGGGCGCCCTGCTCGGCTGGTGTGCTACCCAGGGAAGCGTTAATCTGGAAGCTTGCCTGCCACTCTACCTATCGGGTGTATGCTGGACTATAGTCTACGACACCATCTATGCCCACCAAGACAAGCTGGACGACTTACAGATCGGCGTCAAGTCGACGGCGCTTCGCTTTGGAGAGAACACAAAAGTTTGGCTCTCCTGCTTTACAGCTGCTATGCTGGCGGGTCTCACCTCTGCCGGCTATGCCTGTGACCAGACCGTGCCCTATTATGCCGCAGTAGCCGTCGTCGGAGCGCACTTAGTGCAGCAGGTGAGCACGCAGTAGAGTGGAATATGTTAACTTTAATCTAATCCATCATTACTACTCAGATCTACTCACTCAACATAGACAATCCCAGTGACTGCGCCAAGAAGTTTCTCTCCAACCAGCAGGTGGGCCTGATTCTTTTCCTGGGCATCGTGCTGGGCACTCTGCTGAAGTCGGACGACAGCAAGAAGCAGAACAAAGCGACGCTAGCACCTGTGGCAGCTCCATCATATGTACCGTTGCCACAACCAAAGCCGGACGTTATCAGCTGAACGGTAATGAGGCTGTGGTGTTAACTTAATTTTCATCCTTCATTGCGGGTTCGCTCTAGACCAAAGTCTGTACATAGCTAAGTAGTTTAATTATTTTACGGTTATATTTTGTAGAAGTTTTAATGGTATTCAATGCAATTTGTTGTGACATTATTCATAAAATCGCCTCGGGGAAACGTCTAAAAGCATTTGTTGCCCATTCGCTTTTAGACTCATTCGGCCTTCAACTTTTGTAAACAAACTGGTTTCTGTACTCAATTCTTAATTGTTATTATTAATTACATATACAGTTTGTGGTTATGTGCTGTATGTGAATTACGCTTCTAATGTATTCATTTCATTTGTCGTAGTTCATAGTTTCGCTACAGCTAAGAAAAGATTGTTTGCCGTTGTACAAATGTTAAATAAACTAGGGTTAATAGAATTGGGTATTAGATTAAATCAGCCACATTCATGGGCATCTCGTCGATTTGCGTCGAGTAATATTGCTCAATGTCGCGCAAAATGCGTATATCATCCGATTTCACAAAGTTAATGGCAACGCCCTTGCGTCCAAAGCGGCCCGATCGGCCGATGCGGTGAATGTACAGCTCACGATTGTTGGGCAAATCGTAATTGATGACCAAGGACACCTGCTGCACGTCTATACCACGCGCCCACACATCCGTGGTAATGAGAACGCGAGACTGGCCGGCACGGAATTCCTTCATGATCTCGTCACGCTCCTTTTGTGGCATGTCGCCATGCATTGAGCTGACCGTGAAATTGGCCTCACGCATCTTCTCCGTCAGCCAGTCTACCTTGCGCTTGGTGTTGCAGAAAATGACTGCCTGGGTGATGGTCAGTGTGTCATAGAGATCGCATAACGTGTCAAACTTCCATTCCTCTCGCTCCACGGCAACAAAGAACTGTTTAATGCCCTCTAGCGTCAATTCATCGCTATAATGAAAACGGAATTATAATATAATTCGATGTGGACGTAAATATTATTTATATTTAATTACCGCTTGACCAAAATTCGAATGGGATCAGTCATAAATTTGGAAGTCATTTCCAGAATCTCATGGGGCAATGTAGCGGAAATGAGGACCACTTGCGTTGCTGGCGGCAAATACCGATAGACATCATAGATCTGTTCCTTGAAGCCCTTGTTCAACATCTCGTCGGCCTCGTCGAGCACCAGCATCTTGATGGCTCTACAAAGTGTCCCAAGCAACACATGTTAGATATAGGTAATTAACAATATATTCCTCAGCTCACCTTGTACGGAGGACACGTCGCTTGATCATGTCGAAGACACGACCAGGTGTGCCACTCACTATATGCTGGCCGTAATCTAACTTTCGTATGTCCTCGCCCAGGTTTGTACCGCCAATGCACACATGGCACTGAACGTTCATCATGTCGCCCAAAGCTAGAATAACCTTCTGGATTTGGACAGCCAACTCGCGTGTGGGGGACAAACACAGGACCTGTGTCTCACGCAGCGTTGTGTCCAGGCTTTGTAAAATAGAAATGGAAAATGTTGCTGTCTTGCCTGTACCGGATTGGGCTTGCGCGATAACGTCACGTCCTTTCACAATTGGCTTTATGCTGCGCTGTTGTATAGCGGATGGTTTTTCAAAGCCTACATGTATATTGGGATTAATAGAAAGCGATTCCTTATGCATACACACAAAAACTTACCGTACGCATAAATGCCGCGTAGCAGCTCCTCCTTTAGGTTCATGGCATTGAAGGTGGGTATTACCTCCACATCTTCGCTTGTCTCAAACTCCACATTCGAGAGATCCTCGGCTTGTGCATTTTTGCGAGCCATTTTCGACTATGTGTTTAAATATTTCACAGTAATATCTTTACCAAGAGCAGTACAAGTTTTCTAAATATTTTTTCTATAACTTTCATGCGGCTTGGGGATGGAAATTGATATTAGCTCGGCTATCGATAGTAAAGCGTCGATATATCGATACGGAATTTTAGCAGCACTTTTAGAGTTGCCATAGGTGCTCATATTTTCGCATTTGGCGCGCATTGCATTATTTCAAAGTTTTGTATTTCCACTTGTTATTAATACCAGAGCTGTTATTTATAAATAACATTTGATTACCCGTAGTAGTTTAAATAAAATATATCAACTAATTTATTATAAAATAAATAATTAATCGTCAATTGTGGTGTTATGTTTTGACAAATTTCTTCAATATCCGTTTAAATAATTTCAAGTCTCTCTTCTTAAGTTTCTTTGTCTTTTGGGCCAACTCTCGTGCTATTTCTACACGCTGAGTAGCCTCCATTGCTGCAGTCTCAGCCTTTTCGGCAATTTTTTCGATCCGGCAAAGATCTTTTTTTGCCTTTTCCATGCATTTTTTTAGTTCCTCCACTCGCTTGCTAACGTGCATGAGTATCATATACTTTTCCCGTATCTCATTATTGGCACAGGCCGCTATTTCTTTATATCTCTCTAAATTCATCATCGAATCTTCTAGAAAGCTCCGCATGATCTCTTCATGATTTTTTATGTTTACAGAGATGCGAATAATTGTATCTATATTGCATTTGCTACGGGCTAGTGCCATCTCTACCTCTTCTATGACAGCATCGGCCTCGCACTGACTCTGCTCTAGTTGTTCGAGGAGCAGTTTCTTGCCATTCAGAGCCGCTTCAGCCGCTCGAGCAGCCTGCTCGGCCTTGTCGGCCAGTCGTTCCATGGCCCGCTGACCAGCCCTTTCACCGGCACACTTCTGGGCATTTTTGGCTGCGCTAGCTTCGTCTGCTGCCGTTGCGGCTAATTTCGTGGACTTCAGGTTAAGATGGCAGCTGTCTTTGGATGACGGATCTTGCTCATTACTACAGGACGGCCTACGTTTGCTGTGTGCACTGTTCGCCAGTACGATGCTCATTATACATATCAAGACCAGAGGCTCGCAACGCATTGAAAATTTGTCATCTTACATAAATCTCCAGGCTCGTCTGACAACATTACTTATTCAAATACTAAATAATATTCGCTCTCATTTGAAAGAAGCTTTGAAATTTAATATACATATATAATGACTGCTAAGGCTGCAGTGCTTCTTCTATTCCTCTGTCTGCTCAGTCCATCGGTGCCGCAAACTCTTGGCCACAGCATGGGCAAGGTAAGTGTCTTGAAGCTAGTGTTAGAAATCTGGCTAAATCGAAAATTTCCGTGTATCTCAGAAACGTTCCGTAGCCCCGACCAGCTTACTATACGATGACGGTCGCAACAATGCCAAGGAAGGTTGTGGTAGGAAGGACGAAGGCTGCCACATCAAACTATCTCCGAATGCGGCCTCGAGGCAAAAGGCCTCTTGCATTGCCATGAAAGCGGCGCAGGAAGCGAAGGCTGCCTCAGATGCTCAATTGCCAGCCGCGGAAAACGCAGCGCTTCAGGTAAAGATTCAGTTGGCCGATAAAGCATTAGCCGCAGCAAATGCTGCCGATGCGGCTCTGGCAGGCAAACTGCAAATCGTTGAGCAACTGGAGTCGGAGGTGCGTGAAGGTGAGCTGGTCGTGGAGGAAGAGATGGGCTCGCTGCAAGCGACGCAGAGCAACTGCAACGCGGCCGCGCAGGCGGCCAAGCAGGCCGGCGTACAGTTAAAGACTCTCGGCGAGGCGGTCAAGAATGCTCAGGCCAATGTGATGAACTCGGAGCACGCTGCCAATGGCGCCCAGCAGGAGCTGACCGAGAAACAGCAGCTGGTCGAGGCGGCCAAAAAGCGTGTCGAACTGCTCCTCCGGCAGCTCGATGCTGCACGAACCGATTACCGGAACACGCAGAAGGCGGCCGAGCGTGCCGCATGCGCCGCCCAGGAAGCCAAGCAGCGCGCGACGCGGGAGCGACGCAAGGCAGAGATACGCAGCAAGCTGCATCAGCATATGCAGCAGTAAATCAAAGTTCAAAGTTGAAGTTATCATATATTTTTATTTTATTAACTGTACTTTATTTTATAAATGCTCAAGTTTGATTGGCTGTAGGAAAATGTTTCGATATCGCCTGGAAGTGCATTAGATAATAACTTTTAATCTATTGAGAATCATCTATATTTTGGCCAAGGAGAGCGTGCTAGTGCTGGTCATGCTTACAGAGTCACCCGTAGAGATGCCTGCCTCCAATGAGTCCACCGATTGCGACAGATCTGCGGCATTGGGCAGTAGTTCCAGGCTGAGCGCGTGCGTATTGTAGCAGAGCACCAGCTTGGTCTTGAGACCCTCGAATATGCTAACCACACTCGGCTTGAGATTGAAGAAGATGATCTTCTGACGACGTCGCTGGAAGTCTTCCACCATCGAAGAGATTACCTTGGCCGCCGTGAAGTCGGCAGCGTAAATGTACGTGCAGTCGATGACAATGGGCAGCGTGGTCTTGCTTCCGGACTTGAGCACCATGTTCCTCACGAACTCCACCGAGGGGAATATCAAACAGCGATCGGGCGTAATCTTTATAAACTTAATGCCATGCTCCGTTTCCAGTTGCTCCAGCGTCACCTTGGGCCGTGCCGCATGGTAGAGTATGTAGAGTTGATTGGCTCCGATTGCCACAACGATGCCAATTTCCAGGGGCAGCACAAGGCAGGTGATGAAGGCCAGCAGACCGGGCACAAGATCAGAGCCTGCAATTTGAGAATCAATTGAAGACAATTTATGGCAGCAATTCAGGAGTCGAGCTCACGTTTGCTGCGCCACATCGGCCCGACGATTTGGTATTGGACCTGAAACACCACGGCCGATATGATGATAGAGGCCAGGACGGCTTTCGGTATGAAGTAGAAGTACTCGGTGAGGTAACTGATCGATAGCACAACGATGATGCCAATATAAAGATTGGACATGTTGGTGCGACAGCCGCTGGCATTGTTGACGGCGGAACGGGCCAGGCCCCCGTTGCTCCGGTAGCCACTCACTAGGGCCGTGGCCATGTTGGCCACGCCGGTGGCGAACAGCTCCTGGCTCACATCGATTTGTCTGTCCTTGGCAAATGCCTTGCACACAGACACGTTCTCCAGCAGCGCTATAATCGGCACTATAATCAGCCCAAACCCCAGACTCTGCACCATCTCAAAGAAGTTTTGGCCTGGCACTGCGGGAATGCCGGCCGTGGCATTGCCCGGCTGCGCCTCGACCGTGAAATTGGGCAGTGAAATGGTGGGCAAGCCAGGCGGTATGTAGCCTGTGAGACGAAACGGATTCCTGTCGTTCGCCTCCAGGTACATGGCCACCAGAGTGGCGCCAATGACAACCGTGGCATTGCGGGTGACGCCCACAAATTTGATGATCTCGTTGAGCACGCGCTGCAGCTGGCTACGTTCGCACTTCTGCTTTGGGCCAATGCGGATTTGGCTGAGGCTGCGTATGGCCAGCAGGAGGACTAGGCAGCCGCAGCCCAGACAGCAGTCCCAAATGCGAAAGTTACCGATGTCGCGGAACATGCTGATCCAGCTCCGCAGGAACGAGCCACCCTCACTGTTCACGCCCAAAATGTACTTCATCTGGGACGTGAGCACTATGAGGGACACGGCACTGGTGAAGCCTGCGCTCACCGGGCCCGACACAAACTCCACCAGGGCGCCAAGCTTGAAGATGGCCATCAGAATCTCAATCAAGCCGGTGAGAAAAGTGAGCAGCACCGAGTGCGCCCAGGAGCCGTGTGCGAACTGGTATGTCATGAGCGAGGCCACGGCTGTGCTGCCAATGGTATTGTCCTTGCACGTGCCGAGCAGGACGTAGACAAAGCAGCCCAGGAAGGAGCCGTAAAGACCAGACTCGGCGGGCAGGCCCACCACGCCCGAGTAGGCCAAGCCCTGCGGAATGACGGTGAGGCCCACAGTGAAGCCGGCTATCAGATCCCCAATGGCATCCTGCCTGTTGTACTTGGGCAGCCACTCAATGATGGGCAGGCGCTTCTTAAGCGTCTTCATGCGGCACGCACTCCTCGCATAGCTCATGCAACACGAGGGCCCTGCCTCGTGCTCCTGCCTGGCTGCCTCCAGCTGCTCGAGGCTCTTGCTTTTCGAGGTGCGATGGTCTGTGATGAGTATGCAGTCCGTAGAGGAGCTGCGAAATTGCGCCTCAAGGCTCTGACTCACTTCCGCGCGCTTGCGGAAGGTCACCTCAGTCTCCAGTGTGGACATTGCGGTATCTCCTTTGATGCGATTCTGTGTAAATCCGGTAGCTGCCTCCGGCTGCTAGAGTGGCTATGCAGCGACTGAATGATAGCGCCGGATGCTGGGCACCTAAAGCGCGATCTTATCGCGGCCACCGATGTTTGCCCTGTTGAAAAATGTGGAAGCGGGACGCCAGTTGTTTGTTTCGGCCACACGACTTGCTCTTGTTTGGCCAGCCATTATCGACCAAATCAACTGGCACAGGTGTCGTCGGTGATATTAATTTTTCCATGACTCAATCGTAGACTGAATATCAATGACAAATTCAGTGAGCAAACATACGCAGTATTCCTATCGTATCGTCTTGAGGAACATTGACATTTATCTTAATGCGTACATAATAAATTTGATTAATATTAATCAATTAATAAACAAAATTTATTTATTTTTTTTGGTTTATTTAATTTTAATGTTTTTTTTTCATGATTTTTAAAAATTGTATTTTAAAAGCATCGTATTAGATCATATAAAGTAAGATATATCATTACAATGTACAATTGTATCCGTTTTTGTTTTTATGCGTATTTAAAATTAAAATTGTAACATTATGTTTAGGCAATTTTATAATTCAATAGCAGTAAATTGTTTCAGAGACCATGGCTATATGTATATGTATCATATATAATTATGTGTGTGTATATATTTATATATATAAGTATAATGTACTCGCATGTATGTGTGTACGCGTATGTGTATGCATGTAAATATTTATAAGCTCAAGCACTTGCCATGTGCACATCTTTAGAACTGAACGAAATGAAACCAAATTAAATTTCGAATTTAACCGAAGCTAATCAATTCGTTATCAAAAATTACAATTTGCAAACTGCAGCGTATATATCTGAACAATCCAGAATTGACAAATTTACTTAAGGAAATAATTTTGTTAAGGTTACAACACGATCAAATTAAGCTGCTTTGTTTTGGTAATTGTAAATTTCAACAATGCCAATATCTAGATACAATTCATTTAAATATTCCATTGTGTGTGTGTGTGTGTGTGTGTGTGTTTTTTTGTTCGACAACAAACATTTGCATAACTCAAATAACTAACAAATGATTAGGCATATGATAAATGAACACAGTATGAAAAAAAAATTCTCGTAATTGAAATAAAATTCCATTGAACGCAACAAACATTGAAACAAACGAAGAGTTGTGTACAACTTTCGAACAAAACAGCAACAACAATGGGGACTATCAACTACATAATCAGACGCATATATGTATAGCTCATATCAGCTGGTATATCATGTATACATATATGAGTATGCGATAGGCATCTGCCCGGGGCTGCCAGAACGTCTCGGTGCCTACGGCCAAGCGCCAATGGTATAGTTCCTGGTCAGATGACCCATGCGCCGCTGACGACCAACTGCAAAAGATATAGCCATAAATTGGGATTAGCATAGTGTATAGATCAGTTAAGAGACATATGTAACACCAACAGCGGAGCAAGAAAACTGGTTAAAAATGTATAAATAAATCGATGCATGACGCACGATTGATACACTTGCAGTTGATATCAAGTGCCAACATTGGGTTTATCCATTATCTATAACTATGTACATATATTGAAATTGTAGTTTATGCTAAGCTGAGATATAAATATTTACTAAGCTAGTTATTGCCTATCAACGTGTTAACACTCGCTTTCAGCAAGCGCAGCTCTAGCTTAAAGATACTTATGTGATATATCTATCAGATACTCGGATACGTACTGCATGTTAACATCATTCTTCGGTGTTAGTTTTGCGGCTGGTTGTTGGGTGTGGGTCGTTTTAGGTGGTATTGTAGTTGTTGTTGCTGATATTGTTGTTGTTGTTGTTGTTGGTAGTAGTGGTGGTTGTGGTAGTGGTGTTGTTGTTGTTGGTGGTGGAGTTGCGGTTACACAGAGTTACAAAAAGGGGGAAAATCACAAGATGTTGTTGTTGTTGAGTTGAACACACAGAATCGTTGGCGCACATGATGCTGCTTGTTGTTGTTGTTGTGGTTGTTGTTCAGGTGGTGTTGCTGCTGCTGGTTCTTGTTAATTTCGTACATAATTGGACAATAAAACAAAGACACAAATCACACGCTCACACACAGAAAAGGTTGTTGCTGTTGTTGATTTGTTGGTTGCTTGGCTGTGGCATGTTTTGTCTTTTTATTTACGCTGATTGAGGCGGTTCACACGTACTGTAAGACATAGAGAGAAAGATAGAGAGGAGAGAGTGGGAGAGAGAGAGAGAAGAGACAAATACAATGTGATTAGGTAAATGGCAACACTGAACAGGGGAATACAAATTATCTTAGTTAAGGTTAATCATAATCATATACAACATGTTGTCATAAATTCAATCAATCAATCTTTCGGGTACAACATTCTTAGATTTTAGTAGTCGGCACATAAATTCGCTCGCAAGTCAAGAAATGTTTGAGCAATAGGTTCTTAGGGTCTAAGTGTTTTTAATTGGAGCTGGCTTAAGCAGAACTCGGGTTGGGATTGGCATTAGTTGGGCTCGCTTAAGATTAACGCTGGCTGGGTTAGGCTTTTGTTCACTCATTATCTTATTCTAGGCACAAACAAACAAACAAACAAACAAACGAACGAACAACAAGGAACTGAGTAAGAGATTTGGATACCAACTGTTCGACATGGCTTAACGCTGAGAGCTTTGCTAGATGGGTTTACAAGTTGAATCTTGTTCATGTTTGTTGCTGTTGTTGTTGTTGTTGTTGTTGTTGTTCGTGTGATGCTGCCTTTGTTGAATTATAAAAATTGCTTCGACATTTTGGCATTTATATTTTAATTTTAAATATATATTTTTTTATTTTATAAATTTTATATTGCTGTTATTTGAGGCTGTTATTTGATTTATTTGTGTTTTTAGTTTCACTTAAAAATTGTACATCGCAGTTTAATTCCTATACGAAGAGAAGTTTATTAGAGTTCTGTGGATTGAGCAGCAACTTCTGCTTGGGTTTAGTAAAGGCCAATGGGATGAATTTTAGGTAGTGTCGGATCAGGAGTTGTGGGCGTGTCATGCAGCATGGTAGACGGATCAACAAACATGCAATTTTCAATTAATAACTAATAATAACATTTCAGTTCAGTTAATATCGCATGCATGGCTTAACAAACAAAGTACAAAAAGATCAGTACGCTTAACAGTCTTGAGTTATAATTGTTTTTTGTTTCGGTTCTTTTGTTTCGAAGGTCAATTAAGATCATGTAATTTTAGATATTAAATATTAATATGCATATATACTAGACCGCAGCATTCAAATTCGAAAATGCTTATGTGGTTAGACAATTTTGTTGTAGTCTTTGTTGCGTTTATATTAAGAAACATTTTACGTAGAATTCGTGTTCATAGATACCTGTGTTAGAGATTAGACAAAATTATACACATTACGTCTAAAGAGTTTTTGCTGGGGTTAGATGCCTTGACTTTTCTCGTAAATCAGTTTCAAATATATCTTCTCTCTATATATGCTTGTATCGTAGATATATTTACATAGTTGCATGTATCAGTGGTTCGTTCTGCGCATTATAGATATGTGTATATGTATGTGTGTGTGTATATATGTATATGTATATATATATAATTTATATATTATTTACTTCTTGGTCTCTCTAACGCATTCAGATGCCAGCGTTGCAGCTGCTGCTTCTTTCTTTTCTTTTATATTCTTCTTTTTATATAGTGTTTACACGTTTAATTTACAGAGATTAAACATTGTTGTTTTTTATTCGTTTTCTTCTTTTTATTTTTAAATTTACAAAACTCATTAAAAATGTTTAGTTTAGTTGCTTTGATTTGATTTTTTAGCATTTCTTTCTTTTTGGTTTTTTCTTTATTTATTTTATTTTATTTTTTTTGGGTTTATTGAATTCTTGTTGACTTTCTATGCAGATTATTGAAAAATCTGTACTGCAGGCGTAACTCAAGATCTTTTCTTACTGTAAACGAGAAACAGAGAGACAGAGATAGAGAGAAAGAAATAGTACACAAAAATGAGAATAGACGAAACACATAAGAAACAATGTAAAGCGCGTTGTTGAGTCGATCTTCTCGACTCTTTGACTGTCTGAGAGAGGGAAATATTGTTTTTTTTTTGGTCTGTTGGTCTGGTGTCAACATACGGGGGTAGAACACAGAGAGTAGACTGAGTTGGGGTAAGAACAAGATACAAGAACTGCTCGTCTGCTCCTGGAGACTTTACTGGGCTGTTAGTAGTGCATAGCTAATGCTGATGGATGGGCGTGTCCCAGTTATATACAATATGAATCAAAATGCATGAGCAGCGCTGCTGATAACGACGACAACGATCAGGTACAGATAGATTTACATTTGTGTTTTTGTTTGTTTTTATATTGGGTTGAGTTTGAGTTTTATGTACACGTTCTTGGTCTGCAAGACGTTGAGAGCTGGCTCTGGCCATGGGCAGAACGAGCCCTTCTTTACACCATGGGCAAAACACAAAATGTTGGTGGATCAAGAGGCAACAACAACAACGTTACTACGAAACGAGGTGAAGCGAGGTGAGAGAACGAGAATTGATCGAGTGGCGGCTGTTTGACTGTCTGTACATTTTTGACTGTGTCTGGGCGAGCTCCGCTCCGGTGTGCATGGTGTTGGTGGTGGCGGTGGCGGTGGCGGTGGCTTTGGCTGTGGTGTTGGTGGTGTTTTCTGTTGGGTGTTTTCTGCTTGGTGGCTTCACTCACGTGTGCGCTTGGTAGACGCCCTCGTCGTCATAGTTGGGCGTCACGGCCCGACTGCCGGGCACCACCATGTTATCGGGATCGATCTCTGGATCGTAGGCATCGCCGCCGCCGCCCCGTATGACCATATTATCGGGATCCACCTCCACATCATAGTCGGCCGGCGGCTGTGGCGACGGTGATGGCGATGGCGACGGCGAGGGCGTTGCCGAGTGACCCAGATCACGTTCAATCTCCATGTTGCTGGGCAATATCAATTTTGGCAAATTGGGCTTAAGTTTTTGCACCCGGAAGACTGAAGATCGTTTTGAAATTTTGTTGTTGTTGTTGTTGTTGGTTGGTTGGTTGATTGATTGGTAGCGGTAGTTTAATATACACAGAGGACAAGTTGAGTTGTGGGATACAGTTTGATAGTTTCGGGATTTGAATATAATATATAACAAATAATTGATTAATAATGCTTTATATCGAATCGTACTGCAGACAAGTTGTCACACATTCTATGGTATATACAAGACACAAAGATTGTTCACTGCCGCTAACGAGGAAGACACAATACAGAGGATTTACTGAGACGGGGAACTATACACACAGTCATATATGTATGTATATGTATATGTGTGTGATGGGGCAGTGGCAATAGCAAAATGTTTACGTGAAGAATGATATTCCCGTACAGCTGACTTAGTATGTAAAACTGACTTAGCAACACTTGATACGCTATATATAGTAATTACATTAATTTAGATCTACGAATGGCAATGAGTAAGTTCTGTGATCTTAAATAAGCTCGACTTAGGCGTATATTAACTAATTTTTGGACACTTGGTGACGCAACGCAACGAAACGAGAGGTGAAAACGAGAACGAGAACGAAAACGATAACGATAACGAGAACATGAACGCCACGAACGCTGAGTGGTGAGAGATGTGCTGAAGTATTAGGCTTAACGACTGGACTATAAAGAGATGCCAAAGACGTCGGGTGGGTTCTCGAAACGATAACATTTTACCTGGTTACCACAAGATAGAAACAGAGAGGGGGGAGAGAGAGAACTACATTTTGGTTACCAACGCCGTTTGGGTACTGAGAGAGGACATCCAAGCTTAGATCTCCTTCTCGTTTGCCGCGCGCAAGCGGCTCAGGGCAGCACGGGATGTGGAGGCCTCGGCTGCCACTCCAGTTGTGGTTGGTGTGCCTGCCATGGAAGTCAACTGCAAGTTGCGCGTAATGCGCCCTGATGGTGGCAAGACATGAGCAGAATCTGATGCATTAGTCCAGGTGCGAGCCTTCACGAACTGCTCGAAAGCAGCCAAGCTCTTTGCCTTTGAGTGCGATATGGCTGATGCGGATGTAGATGGAAATGCTGATTCTGATGCGGATGCTGGTGCGGATGGGGATGACGGTGACGAAGCGTCGGCGTGGAAAGCTAACGTACCTTGCTGCAATTCACCTAAACGCGAGTGAGGTACACACGAGTCAAACGTGAATAAAGGCATATATATATATGTATACGTAATTTCATAATATCAAAGAAATTCAAAGGGATCGCGAGCCTAGCGAGCAGAACCAACGCTGAAAACCTGCAACAACTGGGCGTGGGTAGAAAGAGCTGCCAATGGCAGCGACCAACTTACTTCTGTCGATGTTGCGCTGCAGATGGGCGGCCACGCGATGACGCGCATCGTTGAACTCCAGGTGCAAGCCGAGTCGCAGTAGCGATGGGTTCTTCTCCACCAAGTTGGTGATCTCCATTTCAATCTTGTTGCCAAGCACTGCAGATCGCTGTGTCGAGCAAAGGAGCGGAGTTAGTTCTCATTCAATTCAACTGGAAATTCCACTGAGCTATCACCACTTACCTGATTGGAGGCCCTGAACTCCTCGATGGTGTGACATTTGAGCAGAGCTTGCACTAGTCTGACAATCACGGGCGGACTGATAAAGTTGGTCTCCACATTTAATACTCTCAGGGTTTTGCTTTTCTCGATCGCTTCGGCGAGCAGGAGAGCTGTCTTATCGGTCAGTCCGACGTTTGTCAGCGATAGAACTTCCAAATGTTCATTCTGAGGCAGTGCTGCAAAGAGCTGTTCGAACTTCTCATCCGATATATTCTAGAGACAAAGAGATTGCTCGTTAGCTGATGCACATGTTTGAAATCGTGAATAGTCACCTTAATGTTATTCAAGTTCAGGTCAATTAGCTTGTTGTCGTCATCCTTGACGCGCTTGATTGACTCATCCACATCTGTGCTGTTGGGCGGATCCATGGGGTACAACTTCTGCTGTGTGGACTTTGTGATGCCATCCCAGCCCAAGCCAACCGGCTGGCCCTTGTTCAGTAGCGAGGCGTGGTACTGATCCTGGTTCATCATCGAGTGGAAGCCAAGAATGGCAGCCAGATCGATAATTTCCTCCTGCGTGGCATCACTGAGAGCATGCTCGTACTCCTCGCCCATGTCGATGGCGATCTGTTCCTCCGCCTCAATGTCACGCGCATCCCTTGGCGGTGGCACCCACTTCTTGCCGCGCACCTTGCCCTGCACATACGGCTCAAACTCCGGCTGATCGGGCGTCTCGATGGCCTGCTTGTTGATATGCTCGATGAGCTGCTTGCGATTCAGCGGCCCGGTAGCAGCCTTGGTACACTCGTAGCTGCAGCGCTGATCTGGTGGCAGGAAGTTGTCCTGAAAGGTCAAGGATTAGTCAAGCTGCAGATATGTGAAAATGAATTCAAGTGCATGCTTACATCGGGATCAACCTCTTTGGCCAGTATGGTTATCTCCTCGGGCGACAGTTGCGCCAACAGACTCTCCACATCCACATCATCGTATTCGCTCAAGTCCTTGCCGTACAGCTTGGCCGGCGTAGTGAGCGTGGTTGTCTTTGTGGTGGACGAAGTCTGCAAATGATGAAATTGATATGAAATTAATGCATTCATTTATAGCACTCTATAGTTAATATGCATTTCACACATTCTTGAGCAGCTTTAGGGTAGCCGGCGGCTGTGGTGCACGCCGCTTGATCTTGGGCACGGGTCGCAGCTTGATCTTCTGAAACTCAGCCACTGGCTCAGTGCTCTCCATGGCGGGCTCAGCGTGTATTATGACACTTTTCGCAAATCAATAAACGGCGAGCCACGCAAATAAAAATAAATAAAACTTAAAATAAAACACAATGCAAATCCAATTATGCAGGTATAAACCGAGCAGCACTGACGCAGACGCTTAATGTGGTTGGATGTGTCCGGGACTGGGGCTCAGCAGCGACTGGCGCGCACAAAGCACAAGACACCAAATTAAGGTGCAACACGGGCCGCGACAGCAGCAAGACACAACAAGAGTCGCAACAGCCGTGCAACATTTGCTTGACGCGCGGTTTGAGCCAAGAGCAGCAATCGCAACTGCCAGTCAGCCACTCAGTTAGCCAGCTAGTCAGCCAGTCAGCCAGTCTTCGAGTCAGTGAGTCAGTGAGACTCGCTCCAAGTTGGCGTAATCGACAGTCGGTGGCAATGTAAATTAGGCGCATACATTTAAAGCTGCAGCGGGACTGGCGGGGGCAGCCAAGTGTGGCACGTTGTCTGCACTTAAATGACTTCCACTCTAAAACGATGCGCCGAGCATGAAATCGAAGCTGAACAAAAGCCCCTGGCTCAGCTCTGGCCAAGGCTGAGGGGCCATAAATAAGAGCAAAAGTAACCAAAGTAAAGCAGCCCCCAGCGATTGATTTGTTGTGGGAAAGTATTGCGCAGGTTTTTCTCTTTGTCTGAGATTTATTGCCAGCGCTGGCATTAATGTGGCAATTGGAAATTAAAATAAAACACCAAGCATGGCCCAATGAGCAAGGCAAAAGCACAAAGCTGTCGTTGGGCAGCTAACTTGGCCAAGAGCTGCTGACATAGGGACACGAAGTCAGTTAACTAAAAGACACGCGGCCAGAGGGCCAGCAATTTACATAAAATAATTGTACAGCACGCTGAGTGGGCTCAAAGTTCTAGCAAAGCGTGACCCAAACAAACAAACCAACAAACCAACTGAACTGAACCGAGCCGAACCGAACCCAAGTGAACCCGCCAGGCAGCCAGCCAACGGACAAAAGCCAAATCTAAAGACACTGCCAAAACTGGTTTCAGAGGGCAGCAGCAGACCAACTGACGAGTGCGCCAGGAAGCGAGACTAACCACATAAACCACTTTTCGTACTTTGCTGCAACTTCAGTGCGCCATTTAAGTGAAACCGGTTTCGCTCTAAAGAAAACAAGTAAGAGTGCTCTAGCCAAGGAGTCCACAATCAAGAGATACTCTGCACACAGAGACTCATATATATGATGTACCCAGCGAAATGACCATGGCCTGATCTTGCTGTGAATTTTGCATTTTACAGTAACTGACGAAAGTCCATTTTATTTTATATTTATTTATTTAATTAGTCGATAATTCAATATTATTTTGATATCAAACTTAATTCATTCTGTTTTAAATATCGATATAAATAAAAGAAAACTAAATGAGAAACAAACAGGAAATACAATATGCTTAGCTAACAGCTTTCTCGATCTATGAAACATGTCTAAAGTTACTTTAATCCATTAATTTTTAGTGCTAAACAATATAAACTAGTTTTACATATGATATATGAGAGACAACATCTCAAACTGTTTTTATTCTTTCATTTTTATGGCCTATAAAAACACACTTGATGAGCTAAAGGAAATTCGTAATTTAAATAAACAATTTATGTTCTCTGATTGTGTTACATTTGATCCCGCTTCAGTTTAATAGGCATGCCCTCTCTTGTAAATTTCTAATTAATACAGGGTATAATAGTAACAACAACTCCACATAACTAGTTGTTGCTCTTCAGCTCCAACTCCACCGCCACCTCCTCTTGGGGCTAGCAAAATGTGCTCGCAAATGGCCATGTTCAAATGTAAGTAAATGTGTCCAAGTTTGGCCAAAAGCTCTGCAGATGCTGCGTCCAGATACAGAGATACGAAGTACAGCTAAATGCTGTCGATTGACCCACTTTAAAGTGAGTGGCATGCATTGAAGCAGCAACAGGGCACAGATAGCAGTCGACGAGATATTATGTCAGGCAGCCTCTAACGGCAAACGGGCAAACGGCCCACGGAGAACGGAGAACGGAGAACCAAAGCTCACAGCATGTTGACATTTCAATTGAGGGCAGACTTAGATTAATTGAAATAAACAGTTTTATTTCGAGGCTGCCAGCCACATCAATGACGCAGCGAATGCCACGAGAGCTGTGAATGCTTTTCAATTGTGGCGCCTCAGCTGCGCCTAATGCCTAACGCTTTAAACAAGTCGTACAGTCAGTCAGGTAAGTATTGTGGCCACCGCAATCGTATCTAACACCACGTTTCACGCAGAGCTACGAATTCTCATTAAAAATGAAAATAATTGCAAAAATAATTGAGTTTATGGCACTCCCGAGACTCAGGCACTCAGATAGGAGGCGCTGCTAATAATTTACATTGGAAAAACAGGCAGAGCCATTTGCAGTGGAAGCGTGAAAAACAAAGACCAAGACAAAGCGACAAAGTTCATTTTTTTTTATGCAAATTTTCCAGGACAAGGAAATATTAGATATTATATTTATATTTTTATATAACAATTTGCTTAGTTGGCTCAATGAATATTAAATTTAATTTATAAACTTGTAAGCATGAGACTTCGGTTATATATTTATAGATATTTTTATATGTAATTATGAATATGTTTTCATCAAACTTGTAAACATAAGACTTTGGTTTTATATTTGTATACATTTTTTATATGTAATTATGTATATGTTTTAATCAATAAATATTTATAGAACTTTTTACAATATATATTAGTTTTTTATTTATTTAAATTTTTTTTATGATATATAACGATAAAAAAGAAAAAAAAAAAAAAATTAATATTTAAGGAAGACGAAAATATCCTCTCAATACCCAGTATTTGGCTTAGGTAGAACTTTGAGTACAGATTTTCGGCTTAACCTTACAACCGGCAGACCCTATAAAATTTCTTTTATGTATATATTTTTGCAAAAATTGAGGGTTCGGCCATAAAGGTGTACACAAAGTTCGGGCTAAGCCAAGCACAGTTAACCATATTGAGAGGCTAGCCACATTTCAGCACTTGATAGCTGAAGGCGGCACTATCTATAGCGGAACGGCAGCCCGTTGTAGTGGGGCATGCAGACGCACCCACCATGCAAATGCACCGTAAACAACATAAGCAAGGTGGCGTAACGAGATATGTACATATATACATATATGTATATGTATATGTTTTGTATCTGACAGATACGATGGAGCGCACAGTTGTCAACATGCTAGGCGGCCAATTCGCGAGTTGAGTTACGTATTTAGCGGATCGCTTTTAGCATAGCTCATGAATTGCAACGGGCCTTGAAACGGGAGCAGGCATTGAGACATGTTTAACCAGCTGCAGCTGCCACAGTCCACGAGCAAACAGTTTACAGTCCGCAATCCACCAAATGTGCGAATAACAACAAAAATCGAAACATGTCTAATGCTGTTTTCGGTGATTTGCAGATTTGCGAATGCGGTTGAATGTGGTGGTGCGAGTGGTGGCCAGTGACTGGCAAGTGGGTCAAGGTGCTTAGCTGATTTAATTAAGCGGCACCGGCCTGGCTTGGGACTCGTTGTCGAGATCACGTTTTTCGAGCGGAAAATCCGCAACAAACAAACAAAAAAACATCATGAAATGCAAAATATTCATATTGCTCGGCCTTTCCGCTTCGGGCTGCAGGTGAAAAGTTGGCCGGGTCGCAATCGCCGCTAATGACTAATGGCTGGAAGTGTGTGTGCACGCCCAAACATGGCCAAGTAGGAAGTGAGCCGTGCCGTGCCGGGCCGTTGAGGATGCGCGCCAGATGCTGCGCGAATACCAGGAAATTGTACGTACTTGAGCGGAATCACGTTAGAAAATACCAAAAATCTTAATTATCGCGCGCGACGCGCTCTTCACTCAGGGGTTTTATGGCCGGAAAGCATTTCTGCAAATTAGCATAGGAAATTGCTGGGGTAGCAGCAGCAGCATGTGTCTGTGGAAATGGTTTTTCATGGCTAAGATTAAGATTTGAATAGGCTGCATGCCAGCGACATGGTTTCACCTCAATGACACACGCGGGACTTAACGTAAGCTGTTGCTTTATTTCTCTTCTCAGTATATGCAATCTTTGACTGTTTGTCGCTGCCAGAGACTGTTGACAAATGCAGCTTGGCTGCTGGCTGAGCAACATTTTAGTGGTTTCCAGCAAGCATTTGGTATCTGCTTGTGGTCCCTAGAGCTCCAGCTCCAGCCATTGTGACCGCAAATCACATATTCAGTGAACAGCAATATGCTCTTATAGCTTGGCAATATTTCATGCAATTTGCATGCCAGCGATAAGCCCAGAGGGCGGGCTCTATTGCTGCAGCTGACAGCAGATGGCAGACAGCAGCCACCGCAACTCCCAGGGCAAAGAAATAGCCGAGAGAAACTATATAGAACTTGGCCCTGGCACTGGCTGGAAAGTTGAGACCACATTGGTCATTCTAAAGCACTGTGGAGTGTCGAGTGTCGAGTGCTGAAAACTGAGAGCCCGATAGTTCCGTTTCAGTGCACTCGCATCGGATGGTTTGCCGCCTGATTGGGCACGCACAGGCAGCGCTGCTGAGATCTTGGCTAACAGCAAAGGCCACTTGGCATTAGCATCGCCAACGCCATTGCCATTGCCATTGGCATTGCCGCTGCAACAAAGTGGCAAATTAACAACGGCCAAAAACAGCTAACGACATTACGGACACTTGTGCCCAAGTCGAGAGAGTGGGCCAAAACTTTCCTCGACTGCGGTTCGATTTGTGACAAAAACATTTACACAGCTGTTG